GTGTGTGTGTGTGTGTGCACGCTTGAACTGCTGATACATTTCAAAGAGAATCACGGAGGAACGCACTTGCACTGCACAACACAACGCACAAATGCACCGTTGCATTTCATTTCAAACTTTCTTTTTTGTCGCTGAAATATTGGTTGAGTCTAACACATACTGTTTGTAGGCAAGGTTTAAAAAAGGTAACTGTTCCCAGTGTCGGCAGAAAACATCCAACCAACCTCTGCACTGGGAATCCAATGTATTACATTCCAAAGACTCTAGAAGAAGTGTGCGTGTGTTTGTGTGTGTGTGTGGTGTCGTATTTGGGGTTGGAGAATGTTTAACTGAGTGGTGTGTGGCATCTGAGGAGGCACCAGACAGTCACTAACCAGTGTTGAACAGATAGCTTTATTTTAAACCTAATCGCCAACACACCAAGTCTCATTGTATGTCTGAGTATAAACGTGTCCCTAAGATTCTGCCTCTAATTGTGTGTGCGTGAGAGAGAGTGAGGGACAGAATGTAACCCTGATGTACAAGATAATGTACATATTTACACAATCATAACCCATTTTTACAGATTCAACATCATGAGGGCAAAGTTCAAGTCTGTACTCTGCAGAGGTGTGAGAGCGGTTTGTATGCTCGCGACAAAAGACACAGATTGTGTCGTGGAGCTTTTTACTGTACAGAAGAGTGTGTGTGTGTGTGTGCGTGAGTGTGTGTGCACTAGTTAAATCAAGGTGCTATGAAAGACCTCGTCAGACTTGAGTCAGAATCAGGGACCTGTTTTTGTGCGAGTGTAAAAAAGAGAGAGTGTTTCTCACTCATTGGGCTATAGATGTACATCGTTTTTCTCTTTCATCACTTCACTAACTGCCGTCACATTTCAGAACTAACCGTCACTGTAAACGTTAGAGGGGTATGAATAATGTTGACGTTGATGGGTTCAGGCCTGAGGAGTGTACATAGCTGCTGATTCTTTTATCACAGCCAGGACCATGTGAACTGAAACAGTTTCCTCAGGTGAGAGCTGTTCATTTCGTCTTTTTTTTATTTCAACGTGACGTTGGTGCCAGTTTTCGGCATATAGACGTGTATTTATTCAGGCTTTTTCAGAAGAAAAAAAGCTTCGCCACTGGTCGTGATTTGTGGTTCCCTCCTCTAGTTTGACGTGCATCCGTTGCACAGTAGCACGTTACCCAGAGAGCCGGCGGCGTAAAGCAGGTCTCTTTCTGACGAGGCACGCTGGGAGAAGTGGCTCCAAAAAAGAAAGAATAGAAAGAAAAGAAAAGATGAAAGTCCACTTTGAATTCAACCACTCAAAGACAGAAAAAAACAATTTATTTAAGATGTGTGGAGAACATTTGGATTAAGTGGAGAAACTTCACATCTATCTCTCTTTGTCCTGCATTTATTCTAACAACTGCAGGACACACGTTTGTTTGACTTATGTAGAAGTTGTCCCTTTAAGGCCTGAACTGATTTCATGTTACTTTGACTGGTCGCGTTAATCTGTTACCTCAAGAGGACTGATAAAATCTGGTGTTAAAGCGGCCGTCAAAGCAGAAACCCTCCTCCTCTTCAAGATTACAGGGTCACACTGGGGTTCAAACGTCAGATCCTAAACGTTCAATGTAGCCTAGAGGGGACACACTTCAATTCACTGGGGACACTAGCATGTAGAGGTTGTTAAGTCTCAGAACAGGGTGGTTGATGTTTATTTCTACTTTCTTTGACGTGAATCTGTCAAAGAGAACACGCAGGTGCAGCTACGTTATTGTTCAGCTGCTGTGCATCGTAACGTCCTCTTATCACATTAATTTACTGCTTGGCTCCATGTTGCACTACATCTAATCGTGGATGCTGTTGCTATAGACACAGACAGGGTGCAGAGATAATGTTTTGGAGGTATCTCTAATATAATCTCGAGATTTTTCAAGTGTGGAAGCTGCTGTGACTCAGTTTTTTGATACTGAGAGTTGCTGATGAGCTACTGTGTCCCCTCTCGTAGAATAAAGACAAATCAGTTTGACACATCAGAAAAAAAAAAGGAAATCAAAGCAGAGGTGGAGAATGATGACTGAAGATGCCATCATGTGCTGTAAATGTCCATCATTTCCTTGTTTTCTTTCTTGCATTTCTTTTCTTTGGTTATGAATATGATTATTAAGATGTAAGAATACTGTAGTATCATAAGTGAACCATTCTTCCTTGCTAGGCATAGAACTTGCTTGTGATTGATAATGGCAATGTATAACTTGTAAAAAAGCAAAACAATTAAAAACTCGAAAAAACTAAGAAAATAAGTCAAAAAAAATCTGTTACCAGTCAGAGGCCAAGGTAAAGGACTCATTTCTTTGTGTTTTTATTTTTTTAATAGCAATTTATCACTGTGTGATATTTTGTACATCATATTAAGCTGTATTCAAACTATTTCCTCTAACTACAAGGGATAAGAGACCTGCTTTTTATTAATTTTGTTTTACTATATATTTTTGAACTGCATTCTAGCTTGTATCAAATGAATTTTCTCTTTTTGTTTACGGGTCCCTTGTTGTATGTCATTAAGGAAGAAAAGCAAAACAAAAAAAATGAAGATTTTTGTACAGTGACTTCAGAGTTCTGTTTTGTGTTGTCTTTCTTTCCTCTGTGTTCAACAAACCTGCAAAAACAACCAGAAGCATTCTGGACTCATCCGTCACATTAGGCTAATGAAATACATGAAGACTTCCAAATGACATTTATAATCACCAAAACTAATAAATAAGACTTATTTTTAGACCATCTGTCTTAAACTTAAAGAAGCCACTTGTTTCTATGTTGTTTGGGTAATGTATTCAGTCTATGCTTCAGGGCCTGCATCAGCTATCCAAATAAAACTTTAGGAACTAACTTAGATAACCCACCAGCTTCAGCCGTCCTACCCCATGGCTAGTTATACATCAACTCAAGAGTTACTCCTCTCACACAAAGTAAATGTCTAAAGACCACAACCTCAGGCACAGGTTTTCTTCCTATTTTGCATAACGTGTCTATGGAGAATATGAGAACTTTCAAGAGACGGAAGCCGTTTAGTTTATTAAAAACACATTTATACCTCAATACCTAGACTTCCCATAATGCAACTCCTTAGTTAGTTGGTTAGTTCATTGTCCTGGCAGGGGAAATTCAGTTTCACAACACTGCACATTCACTTCTTCAAACCACGTCCCATTATTATCCTGTTAAGATCCACAAGGGATTGGACCCCAGAACAGAACCAGATAGTCTTCAAAGAATAAACAAGGTTTATTCACAGCAAACACTATGATATACACACACAAGATAATGCAGGGGAGAATGATCCAGAGAATGATGGGAATGAATCCAGGGGTCGAGGCAGGAGGGAGGTAGGGTGGTAATGCTGTGGTAGAAGTCCAGCGAACTGACGACCGGGCTTCCACTGAGGGGAGGGTACGAACAGACGAGGAGTGGATGGTAAGCCAGGGTTGATATACTGCAGGGGTGATTGAATGATGAGGTACTGGTGTGCCAGCTTCTGGACTCCAGGCCATGCCCACGGGACAAACCAACAGAGAGACAACAAAGGGAGAAACCACAGGAGACACAAGGAAGGGGGAAAAACGGGAAACACAGGGAAACATGCCACCGGAGGAGAGGGAACTATGACATCCAATGTAACAATTACAGCGATAACATATAACATTAAACCTTGATTTATGGTCAAGAGCTGGGTTAATGATGGGATGTCTCATTGGTAGTTTTTAATAGATGCCTGTCGTTTAAAACCGAAATCAATGGTTTGTAAAGGCAGCTGTTTAAAATTTGAACTCCCAAAAGAACTCCAGCGACATGTCCGAGATGCACCCCGCTTCTTGCCTAATGTCAGCTGGGATTGGCTCCCACTCTCCCTGTGAACTTTAAAGGATAAGAGGTACAGATGGATACCTATGAAATTCAGGGGCTTAACGCTAAATCCAGTGTTCTTTTTCAGAGGACGGAGTTAAGTTACTCTAAATAATATTTTATATTTCAGCTTAGAAATGTGTGATTCACGTGTGTGTGTGTTTTAATGTCGTACATCTTGTCTCTTAATGTTGATGTTGTATTTCCCTATTTATGTAACATTTTGATGTCATCAAACTTTTTTACCTGTGGTTATATTTATTTGTAAGATGAGATCGAATCTCCTATTTAAATGGCAACAGTAGCTCCATGACTGCATGTCCACTGCATGTCACTTTACCAAACAGGGCCCTCCTGTGGTGGAAAGAGGCATCCTCTAACATCGTTTTCAGTTGCTGAGTCAGAACTCTTCTAGCACCACTGTTGCCGTAAATTCTGCAGCCTGAAGTGAATTTGGTTTAATGGATCTAAAATTTTAAGATTGCATCACAGAGAGAATCACAATAAAATAGTCCTGGGAAGAGAATAAGCGGAAGAGGATGAACTTCATATGGTTCGTGAGTGTCAATATTACCTCTATCTATCTCTAGAAAATGAAATCAGTGGTGCAGAGTCCTTTGTTCCTTATTTTCTCTTAGATCTGTGAGACGAGACAGGCAACATTCTTAGTGTCTTTTAAATCTCTTCTTAAAACAAATTGTAACACAATTTTATGCATGTTTGACATATGTTGTGTTTCATTTTGTGTCTAACTTCATATCTGTCTCCTTTTAAA